GTGTGCTGCATTTTTTTGCTATAGAAACGAACAACGCTTCCTTTTGTTGTAAGAAACGAACAACGCTTTCCGAATCGTTACTCAAACATATTTCAGTTCTGAACAAACGATAGATTTCTGTGCAGTCGAAGTCTTCACGGCAATGTCAGATACCAAGATAAAGTTTCTCAAGCTTTTACAGAAAGTCTGTGGTACGAAACGAGTAAAAAAAAAAAAAACTGCTTCATTTTGTTGTTAGAAACGAACAACGCTTTTAGAATCTTCATGGTGTTGTCGGAAACAAATAGCGCTTTATTGAAAAATATTTCTCATTTAATTGCCTAATTATAGTCTGAAAATCTGATCTTTTAAAGTATTTGATTCTACGGCCGCCGACTTTTTTCGGGCAACACGACTCAGGAGGACACGACTTCGGGCGACTGGACCGTAAACCATTCAGATCTATTGCTTAACCGTTTAAACTGTTTCTATCAATTACTTTCTATCGCTTTATGCATCGCCTTAAATTTGCTGTCAGTTTCGGATCTCGAATTACGTTTGTAAGTGTGTCTTACTGTCTAGTTTTGGGTAACCTTAACTAGAAATGGATCAAGTGTTTTGGCTGTCAAACAAACTTACCTTGGTAACTGTTCTCCACACTGAAGTGGGCAGGGCCGTGGAATTTCTCGGTAGTTTTCCTCGTGGCTAGCAAGTGTCGATCTCTCTACTCCTATGTGGCGATGAAAACAAGGCACTTTTTCAAAGGGGCAGGATGCTATGTGCAGGTTCAGCGCATACCTCTCTGGTTTAACCAAGCAGCTATGAGGTACATTGGGGCAGTCAATAACCATGAAGGGGCAAGTGTCCATGTGCGTTTCCTTCTCGCTATGCATTCCAACCCAGGAGCAGCTGACATTAGTGCAACGCACCTGGATCCTTCCAATCAAAGCGCTAACTGTTACGTTAACGTTTAGCTTGCCCCCTTCGATCCTTGCTCGACAGAGCGGGCAGGTGCAAGGTCTCGAGCCAATGCTCTGTTTGGAGATCATCTCCAGAAGGCAGGTCTTACAAGCACTGTGCCCGCAAGGCATGGATACGGGCTGATTCATCAACTCCTTACTGGAAAGAAACAGAACCGACAAAAAAATTGTAGTTTGTGCTAAAAAAAAAAAAAGTGCCAAAAATTTGAACTGCAATGCGTAACAAGTCAAAGCAAACGGTGCCATATTCCAAAGATGAAATCGTTTGGAGTAGCCGAGAAATTTTGCAGGTAGCTTTTTTTCGTTGTTGAGAATTTTTTATAGTAGCTTTTTATTGTTGTTGTTGTTCCAATTTGAATAACATCTTTCTTTAACAATATACTTGCCAGTCTAGTTCAAGTTCTGGTGGGTTAGGTTCAAATAAAACTACAACGATTTGTGCCTTCATAGAGCGGTTTTCGTCAATTCCTTCCTCGCAATGTTCCATTTAACTCGAAATTGAAATGCCAAAACTCGAACACCGAATGACTCAGAGCTCCAAATTCAAAAAGGAAAAAAGTAGTCTTACCATATCGGACATAGTAAGCTTTGGTCCAGGACATCTCCAGGCTCGGTTGCGACGTTAAAGGAACTTAGGCCAGACATTGTAGGTATAAATCGGAAAATCGACGTAAGGACTGCACACAGTAAATTTTCGTCACCGGAGCAAAATGAAAATGACACATCAAGTAAGTTATGGATTCTTAATAAACCTTTACTTGGGATTCATCACCATGGTGATATAATGTCGCATTTCCGTTATGCCAATTAGCGCAAATGACCATGTCACGCCCCCGAGAATGAGATAATGCGAACAGTTTAGTAATAGTAGGTAGGAGATGAATAATTTTGCTATTTTATTTAAGAAAATAACAAAAACATAGTTGTCTGACAAGCCTCTGAGGAAGCTACAAAAGATGGTCATGAACAGAGAAGATGAGCTCGAGGTTTGGTTCAGCCAAATGAGGACTTTAACAACTCGAACAAAGATAGTTTCAAGTCTATGAACAATAAACAATTAACTTAAGTGACACATCCCTGAGAGAGTTTTATAGAGACAATTATACAATTAAAAATCAATAACATCATGTTTTAAGTAACTAAAAAAAAAAAATGGGCAATTTGAATCTTACATGTAAATCTGGTGGTTAGAGTTTAACATTAAAAATTTGGTTGTTGCAAGCTTTAATTCAATGTATAATGTAAAAATTTTAGATCTAGATGTCTAAAAGGCTGGTGGTTGCAAGCTTAAGGACTAGTACCGCATGAACCGTTCCAGGTGCTGACTTCTTAATCTGCGTTTAAAACCTAGATTGAGTAACAAAGTTTAAAAGAATCGTTCAACTGGTTGCATGAGGAAACCATTCAATAATTAATTGTTCTCTGTCCAAATGCTGTTTTAAAAAGTAGGATGTTTAGAAGGCGAGAGCTACGAGTTGTCCTGCGAGATATATCTCCTCTGTTTTCAAATAGTCTGGTGCATATCTAGTCATGCAATTTCAATCGGAACAACAAATTTTTCAACATCTCTTGGGCGGCGCTGAAAGTCTTTTAAAATGCCAAAAAATAGGTATTAAAGCGGCCGACAAAGTCGGCGCTGTGGTCGTTTGGCGGGCCGACTTCAACAAAAGAGAAGCGTCAACTTTTTGAAACCTATTTTTATGCAAAACTTTAAAAAAATCTCACCTACAGAGAACAAAAACTGTCCAAAGAACTGTGACAACCTTCTAGCAAAGCAAGAACTGCCACAAATTTAATCATCACAAATCTTCAAACAGGGCGCATTTTTTTTCCTTTTTAACCAAAAAATCACAAACCCAACAACCCTGGTCGACCCATCGTTTAAGCCTGCAGTTACCCCACCAAACAGATCTCTACCTATTTATACTCTGGGAAAAGAGAAATCACATGGAGACATATCAGTCTGGCCTAAGCTATGTAACCTTTTTTTTTTAACTGAATGTAAAGCTTTGTCTCTGAGCAGATCTATAGCCTTCCTGACCATGAAAAACAAACTAAGGATATGGGGATGACGACGCTTGCATAACTTACACTCTGGTGGAAGTTTTGGGTGACAGAACCGCGCGAATGAGCGGCGAAGTAACGGAGAGAATGTGAAGGAATAAACTAACGCTCGGCCGCATAAATCTTCCTTGAACGAAAAAAAACATTCAGTCACGCAAGCTATAGACATACAGAAATCCTTTTCAATTCAAGAAGTCATCATTTCAAACCCCCCCTTCCCTCTACCCGCCTCCACCACCCCCCCTTATTCCTTTTCCCTCCCCCTTATTCCTTTCCCCACCCCCCATACTAGGCACACGGCTGGAAATCATGACCTCGCTAGCTTTTGAAACAGGAAAAACTAAATATTTTTTAAATTTTTTCTTCACCATAGTTTTTAATATTATCTCTTCCCTTGATAGTCTTATATCGAGCATGATCTGCACTTCCCCCCCTTCCCCCTGCCAGAAAAATATATATCGAGCTCAGTTGCCCGGGAACAAATATTATTCAGCTCGGTCGGACGCGAGCTCGATTTGATTCGAGCGCGATTACCAAATCGAGCTCGATTTGATTCGAGCTCGATAGATTGTGACTCGAGCTCGGGTAGGCTTTCGAGCTCGAGTCACTTATATCGAGCTCGGTTGCTCAGGATCCTTCTAGTCGAGTTGTGACTCGAGCTCGGATAGGCTTTCGAGCTCGAGTCACCTATTTCGAGCTCGGTTGCCCAGAAACAAATATTGATCCCAAATATTATTCAGCTCGGTCGGACGCGAGCTCGATTTGATTCGAGCGCGATTACCAAATCGAGCTCGATTTGATTCGAGCTCGATTACAAAGATTGTGACTCGAGCTCGGGTAGGCTTTCGAGCTCGAGTCACTTATATCGAGCTCGGTTGCTCAGGATCCTTCTAGTCGAGTTGTGACTCGAGCTCGGATAGGCTTTCGAGCTCGAGTCACCTATTTCGAGCTCGGTTGCCCAGAAACAAATATTGATCCGAAAATGTCATTGATAACAACAAACATTGTGTGACGGGGTGTATGGATTTAAATAAACACTTTCCTTTTCTTAATTAATTCTTTCCAAAACTTCTAATTTTCCGAGATTAAACGTAGGACTCCATCTTCTCCTCTCAGCTAAAGGTGAATTTCTACCTGAGAAGACGACGTTTAAAATAATTGTGAAATACTAATAGTATCAAAGATGTCTGTCTGTACGTTTGACTGTTAAAGCTCATTTGTTCCTATTTTGGTCACGTTTCCTAATGATCTTTCATCGATAGAGAGCTAGTCAAGTGTCCATATCATCTGTATAAAATTATGCATCAAACGATTAAAATGTTAATGAATTCTAATATTAAAAAGAAGCTTAAATCTGAGGGGTTCCGGAAAAAAGCAATCAACTCTTTGGCACAACAGACAATTTGTTTACGCACTTTGAACAAGCAAACGCTGATGAGGAAGTCTCTATGTGTTTACTGAAGGAAGTTTCAGTCATCGTTGCACAGCTTGGGCTGTTTAAGCGAAATATTTTTTTTCTTTGCCAGTTGCCTCAGTACAAGAAAAAGGAAACGATTAAAGAACAATGTCGACAACAAACTTCACTAGGGGTGGAACACAGACGAAAACATTTGTAGAACTGTTATGCACCCCATCTTTTAGCCCTATTGTTGGGACTGAGATACAGACAAACTTATTTCATAATAGAAGCACCCAAAGGTTCCCGGGAGAAAATTTTTTTTTTGACCCGATATAAAATTTGCTTATGCATTTTAAATGAGTAAGTCTTTATGCGATTGTCAGTTACGAAGTTAAGCTTTAGTAATCCTTGCTACCATTTTTCGTTGCAAGAACAGAAACCTACAAGAAAGAGCAAACGCCGAAGACAGAGTTATGTCGACAACAAATTTCAGTAGCGGCGGAAGTCACACGAAATCATTTCAAGAACTGCTATGCTCTCCCTCTTTGCTAGGTGGGCATCAACAACTAGTAATTTGCTTCTTAGCGGTTGACATTCTCCTCTCCATCACAGCATTTGCAGGAAATTCTCTTATCCTTGTAGCCCTTCACAAGGAATCTTGCCTGCATCCGCCGTCCAAACTTCTATATCGTTGTCTGGCAACCACTGATTTGTTGGTTGGTCTTGTTACTCAGCCTCTCATTGCTCTATGGTGGATGTCCGTGGTTCAAGAACACTGGAGCCTTTGTCGCTACGCATATGACGCAGCCCACATCACAGGCCGTGTATTGTTTTTAGTGTCTTTGATGACGATGACGGCCATAAGCGTGGACAGACTTCTCGCCTTGATGTTGGGACTGAGATACAAGCAAATTGTAACTTTGAAGCGCACGTATATCATTGTAATTACCTTTTGGGTTTTTAACCTTGTCGCTTCTGTATGTGGAATTTTTTTTCCCCCTATAATCTTTTGGTACAGAAGGCTAGCTATATCATTTTGCCTGGTAATATCATTCGCATCGTACACAAAGATTTTTTGCACTCTCAGATATCACCAAGCACAAGTACGAGATCAACAACAGCCGAGCCGAACACTGAACATGGCGCGATTCAGAAAGGCAGTATACAGTGCATTATGGGTGCAGTTAGCATTAGTGGTTTGTTATGTACCAATATTTACAGTGGGAATTGTGATCGCTCTTACTAAAAAATATTCATTACTCTTAGTCGTCGCACGGAAAGTAGCAATTATTTTACTTTGCTATAACTCGACGTTAAACCCTTTTCTTTATTGCTGGAAGATTAGTGAAGTGAGACAAGCAGTGAAGCGGACACTGAAAGAAGCTCTTTGCTGAAATAGGTCGTTCTTGAATTGTTCTTCAGACTTTTAGAGCAGACTTATTAAGGCACGATTATATTTGGAGAGCAGTCGTTAGATAAGTTATTGGATAAAAACAAATAAGTGGCTCCATAGAATAGTTTCGCAGGCTGTTGTTTATAGTCTTTATATCTCTGAGAACCCTATGCTTATATACAAGATGTCATAATCTGAGAAAATATATGTAAACATTTTAATTTCATGTTTTTTCCTCCTAGTAATATGAAGACATCAGATAAGACTTCAAAGAGTAGTTTAAGAGATGTGTTTAAAGCCGATGTTGTGTGTTACGATAAAACTATTTTAACTAGTTTTCCTATAATTAAAAGAAAGCGCTTGACGTTGATGTTGGCGCCATATTGCCACAAGAGACGGTCCAGTTCTAGTCTTGAATTTGTTTTGTCATCAAAAAAATATCCCTAAAACTTATGTGAAGAAGATTTCCGTACTTTTGTATTTAACTGAAGGTTATGAAAGTATGTGAAATAAAATTGACCATCCCTGTTTGATACAGAATTTTTTTACAGATCGATGTTCTGAAATTATATTGGCCACGGCGAAAAACGAGTTTCGCATCGTTTGTATCGAGGTCACCATATGTCCAGTTTGTCGCTGGTGTATCTTTAGGTCGTCTCTGAGTTTTACGGATTTTATTCCCTCCATTTCCGGGCGATTAACTTCTGTCCCTAAGTTTCACAAATGTTTTTTATTGAGTCGTTTCAAAGCTTTTGTATGAGCTCAGACTACTTCAATATCATACCATCTAATTACCGCCCTAAAAAACGACGTGTTTATTTCATCCATTAAAGAAGTGATAAAATAGATCTTTTAAGACTTAGTAGTCACATATCGTATTGTAAAACAAAAAATATAGCCCACGGCTTTGTGTTTGTCAAGGGAATTCCCTTTCAGTGCTAATTTGAAATTAAACTGAGACGTTATCCACTAAAATCAACAGCTGGTTGTGACGAACATGTTCTTGTCTAATTGTCAAGGTAATGAATTATTTTAGAGGATCAGATAGAAAATTCCCTAAGAAATAACTTTTTTTAAAGGAGGGATTGACGCATCTTTTAGCGATTAAATCTTTCGTCTGGTTTTTCTGCCAGCTAATCCTCCATTGGCAAATGAAATGACTGATTTGAAGCCGGTATAAAATGTTGAATCTATAGAAGGTAATTATTTTGCAAAAACGACATTTTCGTGTCTGTGGTGGTTAACTAATTTCTCCTTATCTTTAACAGGATATTTTTAACAATTGCTTCGTGCTTCAGTGAGCGGTCATTAATATACGATGCACACAGGATGTTTGGAAAGCTTGAAAGACGCAACCAAGAGTGATCTCAGGTTCATAAATAATAAATGCTGTCAATGTAGGTTTAACAAGGTGTAGTTTTTAACTCGACTTCGTCTCGGGAATTATTGAATAATATTCACTTCATATTCGGCAAAAAATTGTTCGATATTTTTATCAAGTGTTGATAGTTTATAAGTATCCATTCCTTCATTTTCCTTCACGGTCAATAGATTATCATTTTCACTTAAGCATAGCCATATAACTCTAGTTACCGAAGGAGAATGACCAATCGCTCAGGGGAATTACGACATGAAGAATTTAGTCACTTCTGTATACATGAAACCTTGCTAGATACCAGAATATTTTTATTCTCTTCACTCGGACAAGACATTGGCAAAGAAAACTTTAGGTGAACTTTGTCTCATAATTTTTCCAGAACAATCACTTAAAAGTGTTTGGCGGAAGAAGGAGAACAATTAAAGGGTGTAAAAGAAACGGAAAAATTGTTTGAACGCGAAATTTCTTGCTTTTCTTTTGTTTCGTCTCATATTTTCTCGGAGACGAAACGGAGGTAAAAGCGTCACAAAACGTTATTAATTACACGGTTACATTCAAATGTCCTAAATAAAGTTTGCATCCGTAGCCATGCATTAATTTTGAATTGTTACACGCATTCAAATTACTGGACTGTTTGTCATGGATTTGACAACCTTAGCTTAACCCTTCTTTATTTTCAGCTTGCTGAGGCTGAGAATGATTCAAGGCGAAGTAACTCGTACTGAAGCCTTAATAGTGAGTGCCTTCTCGCAGGCTAACAATCCCGCTAAATTAAGCGGGATTGTTTGTTGCAACATGAAAAAAATAATCTTAAAGATGTCTTTAAATAGTTGCCTCATATTCTCATTTCATACGTGATGTAGATGACAAGTTAGACACAAAAAAGGCTTTTTTGACACAGCAGACGATCATCTGACGTATTTCAAACGAGTAAAAATTAGTGAGGAAGTTTTTAGATTACTGCTATGTAGGAAATAAGGTTTTAGTGATCGTCATTGTACAATTACTGTCTTAACGAACTATTTTTCTTGCAATCATGACAAAAAATAGGAAACGAAAACAGAATATAGTGGACTAAGCTTTTTGGAATTCTTAATCTACCAGCATACAGGGAATATCTCTTCCATAAATCATCATCCCAAAATAAATGACAGTTTTTCTAAATAAGCTGCTTATTCTGTCTCTCAAAAACTGACAAAAGAGAGTTTCCTTACTATATCGTCAAACAAAGATGGAGCCGATGTTTTTGTGTTTGCTAAGGAACTGCCATGCCCCTTTGGTAGGTGGGCGTCAACAAGAACCAATTCCTTTTTCAGCAGTCCACGTTCTCCTCTCCGTCACAGCGTTTTTTGGTAATTCTCTCATCCTTGTTGCCCTTCACAAGTAATCTTCCCCTCACCCCGAATTTTTCATGCTTCTTAGCGGTTGACATTCTCCTCTCCATCACAGCGTTGGCAGGAAATTTTCTTATCTTTGTTGCCCTTCACAAGGAATCTTCCCTTCACCCCCCTTCCAAACTCTTGCATCGATGTTTGGCAACAACTGATCTGTTCAATGCTTTCTTGATTAACAAAAAAAATCACTCCTACTCTGTATTAAAGAATTGGATGAGTTGTTGGTTTGTCTATCAGCAATTTTCCCGTCCAAAAAGAAAACAATAAATATATATCCCATTTTAAAAAATGTTGCTATTTGAAAATATAAAATATTAAATACTCTATATATATACACATATTTTCTTTTCTCATCACAAAGTGTCTCTTTGTGATGAGAAAAGAAAAGATATATTTATTTGATATATATTTCCAAATTTGAAAGGTTTTTAAAAACGGGTATTTAAATATATGTATATCGTCGAAAGAAACGTAATTATGTAAACAAGGCCTAATACAAGTCCGAATATGTCGTGGCAAGCAGGTGTCTTCTAAACAACTTATTCGTTCCTCACTGTGCGATACAAAGCACGAGGCAATTTTAAAGAGTTTGAAATATGTGTCAGAGTTGGTAAAGACGAAGCCTCTCCTAAAACAATCGTAAATTTTTTATCGACTGTTGATAAGCTTTGACCACCCAAACATTCATTTTTCATCTCGATCAATAAATCATCCTGTTTACCTCATTATTGAAAACAAATTCTCATCACCAAAGGAAAGTCGTTAATTGCTCAAGAGAATCACAGGAACAAAAATTGAATAACTTTTCTTTTACAGTTGCAGGAAATAGTTTTCTGGTGTGATAACTTCATCCTGTTACTATTTAGTTTTTGGCTCTAGTCGGATACTAAACAGAGAGGAAAAAAGCTACTAAGCGCAGTTAGGTACATAGTTAATTTAAAATATTTTGAAACAAGGCTACACTTGTGGCAGCACATTAATTTCGAATAGTTATAGTTCGTTCGGTGATTGTCACGAATTCAATTCTTCTCATAGAACAATTGACATCACCAGCTTGAGCTTTTTTACATTTTTAGCTTTCCGTAGCTGATAATGATTCAAGTCTTAACCTAACGCGAAAGATGTGGACCCTTGATTAGCATCCTAATATAATGGAATTTCATTCTGGTAAAGAGCGGTTCTTTGCTGCACTGTAAAAACACCGAAATAACAGATGTTTCTACATTTGCCTTTAATTGCTATTACATAATTGACGCACACAAAGGTTCCCGGGAAAAAATATATTTTTTGACCCAATAGAAAATCTTTGATGCATTTTAAATCAGTAAGTCTTTATGCGATTGTTAATTTAGGAAGTTAGGCTTCAGTAATCCTTGCTGCCATTTTTTGTTGCAAGAACAGAAACGTACAAGAAAGAGGAAACGCCGAAGACAATAATGTCGACAACAAATTTCAGTAGCGGTAGAAGTCACACGAAATCATTTGAAGAACTGCTATACTCTCCCTCTTTGATGAGTGGCCTTCAACAACAACTATCAATTTGCTTCTTAGCGGTTGACATTCTCCTCTGCATCGCAGCATTTGCTGGAAATTCTCTTATCCTTGTTGCCCTTCACAAGGAATCTTCCCTGCATCCGCCGTCCAAACTCCTGTGTCGTTGTCTGGCAACAACCGATCTGTTGGTTGGTTTTGTTAACCACCCTCTCCGTGCTCTATATTTGATGTCAGTGTTTCAAGAACACTGGAGCCTTTGTGGATACGTAAGGGAGGCAGCCTACATTACAGCCTATGTATTGTTTTTAGTGTCTTTGATGACGATGACGGCCATAAGCGTGGACAGACTTCTCGCCCTGTTGTTGGGACTGAGATACAAGCAAATTGTAACTTTGAAGCGCACGTATATTATTGTAACTACCTTTTGGGTTTTTAACCTTGTTGCCTCTTTAGGTAATTTTTTTCATCACGGTATAATCTTTTTGTACAGCTACCTAGTTATATCATTTTGCCTGGTAACAGTCGCATCGTACACAAAGATTTTTTGCACTCTCAGATATCACCAGGCACAAGTACGAGATCAACAACAGCTGAGCCAAACAAATGCACTGAGCATGGCGCGATTTAGAAAGGCAGTATACAGTGCACTGTGGGTGCAGTTAGTATTGGTTGTTTGTTGTGTACCAGGATATACAGTGGAAATTGTGATCGCTCTTACTAAAAATTATTCATTACTCTTAGTGGTCACAGGGAAAGTAGCAGTTACTTTACTTTACTTCAACTCGACGTTAAACCCGTTTCTTTATTGCTGGCAGATCAGTGAAGTGAGACAAGCCGTGAAGCAGACTATCACACAAACACTCTGCTGACTTAGGTTTTCCTCGAGTTCTTCAGATTTTCAAAGCAGACTTATTAAGTCACGATTATATTTGGAGAGCAGTCGTTAGATAAGTTATGGGATAAAAACAAATAAGTAGCTCAATAGGATAGTTGCGTAAGCTGTTGTCGATAGTCTTTTTTATCTCTAAGAACAATTTAGCGAAAGACTAGGTAACCGTAGCCATGTGTTTTCATAAATAAGGTTTTTTGCCGCTATGCTAAAATACAAGATGTCAAAATCGAAGAAAAGATATGCAAACATTTTACGTTCATGTTTTCTCCTCTTAGCAATATGATGGCATTAGATAAAACTTCAAAGAGTAGTTTAAGAGATGTGTTTGAGACCGATGTTGTGTGTTACGATAAAACTATTTCAACTGGTTTTCCAATAATTAAAAGAAAGCGCTTGACGTTGATGTTGCTTCAATACCATACCGTCTAATTATCGGCCTAAAAACGACATGTCTATCTCACCCATTAAAGAAGTGATAAAGAGTCTCATATCGTAATGTAAAACAAAAAATTTAGCCTATGTATTTGTGTTTGTCAAGGGAATTCTCTTTCAATGCCCTTGCAATTAAACTGTTATCTAATAAAATCAACAGCTGGTTGCGACAAACATGTTTTTGTTTGATTAGTTTTAAAGCTACCGTCGCTGTACTGAAAAGAAAATTCCCTGGGAAAGAACTCTTTCTAAAGGAAGGATTGACGCATCTCTTAGCAATTAATTAAGTCATTAATCTAGTTTTTCTGTCAGCTAATCCTCCGTCGCTAAATGAAATGACTGATTTGAAGCCGATCTAAATTTTGAATCTATAAAGAGTAATTATTCTGCAAAAACAAAATTTGCTTTGACCCCAAACTTAAACGAGGCGGCGTGTCTGTGGTGGTTAAATAATTTCTCCTAAACTTTAACAGAGTATTTTTAACGATTGTTTCGTGCGTCTGTGTGCGGTCATCAATATACGATGCACGCAGGAAGTTTGGGAGCTTGAAAGATACGCTGGAGTTGCTTAACACGCAACCAAGAATGATATTAGGTTCATAAATAATAAATGCTGTTAATGTAAGTTTAACAAGGTACAGTTTTTGACTCGACTTCGTCTCGGGAATTATTCAACAATATTTACTTCATCTTTGGCAAATAATTCTTGAATTTTTTTATCGATTGTTGATAAATTTTAAGAATACATTCCTTCATTTTCCCTCTCGATCAATAGATTATCATCTAGCATAGCCATGTAACTCGGGTTATCGGAGAGAAATGGCGAATCGCACAGGGGAATTACGACATGAAGAAATTCAGACACCTGTCGTATACATGAAAGCTTACTTGGTATCCGACTGATTTTTCTCCTCATTTCGCGGACAAGAAGTAGGCAGAGAAAAATTTCATAACTAAGGTATAATAGGCTAACTTTGGCTTATAATTTTTCCAGGACAATCGCTACAAAATTGATGGCGAAAGGAGGAGAACAAAAAGAAAATGTAAAAGAAACAGCAAAAAATTTTTTGAACACGTAATTTCTTGCTTTTCTTTTGTTTCTCGTTATCCCGGAAACGTAACGGAGATAAAAGAGCCAAAAAATGTTACCAATCACACAGTTAAATTTAAATATCTTAAAATAAGTTTGCATCTGTGGCCTAACATCCTCAAACTTATTCAATTCGCATTGAAGCCATAATATTGAGTGCCTTCTCGCAGGCTAAATAAAGCGGGACTGTTTGTCGCAGCACGAAATAATAATTTTAAAGATGTCTTTGAATAACTGCCTCTTATTCCTATTTCATACGTAATGTACATGACAAGTTAAGCACAAAAAGAGGCTTTTTTGACACAGCAAACAATTTTATGACGCATTTCAAACGTGTAAACAATAGTGGGGAGGTTTTTATCTGAGATGTTATGTAGGGAATAGGGTTTCGGGGACCGTTCTTGTGCAATTGGCGTTAGCTAAAATGAAATATGAAATGGAAAAGTCAAGCTTGAAATTGAATAGGATAAAAATCTCAATGGCGCCTCAAAACTATAAAAACTATATAGTTTTTAGGCGCCCTTTAGTTGTAGTTTCGTCGTCTTAAAACAATGAATCGCTTTATCACGTTTCCCAGCTATGGTTCTTACTGTCTAGACGGTAAATGTGCTGTCGCGTAAAATGATGCATTTTATCTGTATTTTTGTTATTCCTTTTGTTCCGTAATATCATTTACTTACTAATATTGCGGCAAGATGATGAGGGTATAAAGTTATTTGCTAACAAGCTTAAAAAGACAAATGTGAAAAAGGTCATTACCGGAGTGAGGCTCTTTGAGTCCAGTGGACAAGGACGACGAGGCTACAGAAATAATTTTTTCCTGTAATGAACGTCGAGTGGATGACGTGGCGAAAACCTCGTTCTGGCGAATTTCGCGCCAAATTGGATCTGAATGACGTAGGTTGTGACGTCAGACCCCACATAGACTGTTTCATTTCAAGCTTGACTTACCTATTTCCCTTTTGTATTTTTGGCGGTTACGGCGTAAACCAACTGTTGCCACACTTAACCATTTGTCGTCATGCTAAAGCATTTGAGGTCACGCTAAACCATTTCACTTTACGGTGAGGAGATTGATTCGATACTAAACCATTGCGGCTTACGATTAACCATTTCCCGATAACTTAAGCCATTTCACACTACTCTGAACCATTTGTGTCAAGTCACTAAAGTACAGTTAGCTGAACCGTTTCTCATTTCGACACTGAACCATTTCAGTTAACACTAGGCCACTCGTGTTTTTCGTGAATCAGTTCAACAAGGTTGGCTACACAGCTCCTGAATTGTATAAACATTTTTGTTTATACAATTCAGGAGCTTTTGTCATTTGTTGTCTTAGCCAGATTAGTATTATTTTGGCTGATTTCCGTATCTGTGGCTGATCTATTTCGGGGCAGGCTGTCATGATGGTAACGCCAAAACCACCTGTAGAAGAAAAAATATAAGATAAATGGAGAGGTTGCTTGAGTCAATTTTTGTGGGGCATCTGCCGTTGGCCTTTCAGAACCCCTACCCATCATAGTCTATTCTGTGGCTAATTATCGACCCCATCTTAGTCTCTTCAGGTAATACGCACTGGTAACGACCTTCTAACTGCAAACTTTCCGTCATTTAATCCCTACTTTCTTAGACTTGTCTTACCCCCAAAATTTCGAAAATGTGCGACCCCATTATTGTAATTAACTCTGTTAAAAATGCTATAGTCAGTAGTCAGTTCGGTCGTGATCGTGACCTATAACTAGGAAGCACACCCCACGGGGGGGTCATACATGCAGCTGTGCCTCTGCTACAATCTACATACAGCCGGAATACACAGTGCATGTTCTTGTAGTAAAGTAACTGAGGCTTAAAGCGAACCTCGTAAGTAGTCTACATTAACATCCTGAGTAATATCTCTGTCAGCTGTTTCAACGTCCACAAATTGGAACTTCAGTTGAAATCCTCTCGCCACTAAAGATGTGAAGAAATGTTTGCTAATAAATTTGTTTTAACGCTATCATATAAAAAGATGACTACAACAGGTAGCAGTAGCCATCAACTCAACTTAGCCTGAATTACATTTAATATATATGCTCTCGACAAATGGGGTTAAAAACAGAAAAAAAGCAGCATTAGGGTCTCAATGCGTGACTTTTGTCACGAAGCATCTCCATTCCTACGAGTCCTCACGTGGTCTCGATATCGAGTCACGCATTCCTTAAAAACAAACATTCTAAAGCAGGTATTTATTTTACGAAACTCTTTCAACTCGCATTTACTTTTGTTTTTCATAAGTTTCTTTGCGGAACTTTATTGTTTCTTGCTTAATGAAGTGACAGACTGTCACGCACTAACGTAGACACCACTATTATAAAATATTCACTAACATACAACTAGCGGCGTGTTGATTTGGTGTTGCACTCAGGCGGAAATTATTTGGCTGCGTTTAAAGGCTAATCTTTCGCCGTTTAGAACAGACTGATGGAAATGTAGACTCCCCATTAGCAAAGAAATTTTAGATTAGATTAGAACCATTCCAATTTTCGTGCGTGGGAATAGATGACTCACGCCCGAGATTCTCCTGATTGACGCGAACACTCATGGTGCCACTTGGAGTTAGGCGCTTTTCAAGTTGAAAGCCGTTCACTGCAACGATTTTGCACTATAAATATGTGCATTGAGGATGCGCAAAACCTTTGAATCAAACTCACCTTTTATTGGTTTAAACACTAAATTATTTGCGTTTGAACGTGTACGTAACAAAAAGAGCAAGCAAATAAAAATATAATGAGTCTCAGTAATAAAAATGAAATGAAATTGGTATATTAGGATTTAAACCCGTTTATATGTTAAGGGAAACATCTAAGAAGTAACTAACAATTTCGCTTGAGACACGAAAACACGAATATTATGTCGTGTGCTTTTTTAACCAGAGAGATGGGGAACGGGCTATTTACAATTGTTTAGAGACATTTTCTCGGTCGTTCGCATAGATAGAAGAGGAATAT